AATGTGCGACATCGAAAAATACTACAATCTCATTGGTTTGTGATACACCAAAAATTGGGCCAATCACATTGCGTTGAGATACACCAAAAAAAAGGATGCGCCAATCAGATTGCTTAGAGATACACCAAATTGCGCTGATCAGATTACACTACACCACAATACACCAATCTATATGCTAACATATAGTTTTTTTTTTTTTAAAAAATAACTCAATAAAAAATAACTCAAAAAAGCTCGGCATTTCATTTAAACGTCGCATTTAATTGTGTCGAATTTAATTGCCTAGTGCGAGTGACAGCTTCATTCCCAGACTCCGCTCTAAGTCCCCCGCCAATATGGCTGACAAAAGTAAGGAGGATATTTCGTATTTTCGGCGTTTATACCTTTCAAGCACCATTTGCGCTAACAAGAAACGGCAGTGCATCATCTGCTAGCAAGAAGAAGACGGCTTCTGTATGTTTGTTCCCTTGTTATGCTTTTCCTATCGCCGTCGATTGATACGAAATGAAGGCTGGTGGCACAAGGTATTGACTACATATTCTGATGTTCGATTCTTTCCCGCCAGTTTTCTTTGCACATGTCGTGTACCATAAAACTATTGTGTTATGGGTAAAATATATTAAACATAATTTATGAATTAGATTCGGCACATGTAAAATGCGGCGTTTAAATCAACTGTCGAACTTCAGTCGCATATTCGACTGGGTCAGTCGAATATTCGACTGAACTCGCATTTAATATAAATCTGCCGAATTTAATTGATTTAAACGTCGCATTTGACATGCACTTAATTCGGCAGTTAGATTCGGCGCATGTAAAATGCGACGTTTAAACCGGGCCTTAGCTTTCCTTTTTTTTAAGCGCAGATTAGATTAGATTTTGCCTGCGTAAGCGCCAGTTGCTGGGCATACCTGCATGGCCTGTGCGATGAAATAACTTCACGGGATTGGCAAAGTTTCAGTTACTGCAAATTATACAAACAATCTAGAGAGATTTAAGCTTACATCTCATTTAACGTTTAAGCGACGTATTATTAACGCCTCCAACCATAATGTTCTATACGAACCTCGCAAACTTTTTAAAAACACGTTCTCTTAATTGTGATACCTACGAAAGTATTCAGTATAATTTCCGGTAAGATTTTCGCACACAATCTGATCGATTTCTCTGACAGCGTGTGCTGAGACTGAAACTTTTCACCTCGAGCAAAGCTTCGTCGCACGGCCCAAACAAACATGGCGAGCAACAGAGCTTCTCGTATATGCCCCGTATTAAAACACACAAATGGACTCCGAAGCACACTTCCCTCTAATAGGGCAGAAAAAACACAAAGATTTCTGGCACCAATCAGATGCCAGAATGACTGCGACCGTTTGGAACTAGGCTCTTCCGCCCTTACTTGAAATCCACTCACAGCCCCTGGGTCTCCAAGGATGCTCTCCTCCTCAAGAGACACGTCAACCTCTTCTCAGTTTACTTGCAAACAAAAAAACAAAGAAAAGTGTTGGGGATAGCACAAAACTTCGACGCGTTATCCGTAATATTCCTTAAATTTTCGACCATCACAATTGATCGTATGAACATGTCACGAGAAATCGGTTACAAGACGGTGAAAACTGAGAAAGAAAACAAACAAAAGGACGAATAAACAAATGAATACCTAAAAACAAGCGTTAATCGAAATCCTACTTACATTTTGTGCGAACCAAACGATAAAAGGAAGAGTTTACGGCCGCAAGAGCTCGTCGATAAGAACACGTGTGAGAAGCTACAGTCCAAAAACATGTGACCAAACTGTAACTCGTGTATATGTACCGAAACGTAACGCAACAAAAAAAAACAAG